GCTGTTTATACGAAATTGAGTCCCTTTTGTCCAAGGATGCTCCAGACTAAATTAGGAAAAAATCCCTCAATCCATATGGTAAAAGAAGGATTTTAAAGGTTTTACCTCTATTTCCCCTATTGGGCCCCGCCTCTCTGCCTCCAGTGGGGTTAGACACACCGTTTATACAAAATTGGTTCCCCTTCACCCAATGATGCTTCATACCAGATTTGGACAAAATCCTGACAATGGAACAGAAGAAGAAGATATTTGAAGAATTTGCTATGTTTCCCCTATTGGGCCCCTCCCTTCTGTCCCCAGGTGGGCCACACTCGCTGTTTATACGAAATTGAGTCACTTTTGTCCAAGGATGCTCCAGACTAAATTAGGATAAAATCCCTCAATCCATATGGTAGAAGAAGAATTATAACGGTTTTACTTCTATTTCCCCTATTGGGCCCCGCCCCTCAGGTCCCAGGGGGGCCACACCCACCGTTTATACAAAATTGGTTCCCCTTTACCCAAGGATTCTCCACACCAAATATGGAACAAATCCTTTCCTTCCGACAGAAGAAGAAGGATTTTAAAGAATAATTTGCTATGTGTCCCCTGTTGGTCCCCACCTCTCAGGCCCCTGGCGGGCCAGACCCATGGTTTATATAAAATTGGTTCCCCTTCACCCAAGGATGCTTCAGACCAAATATGGAACAAATCCTTGCATTCCTACAGAAGAAGAAGGATTTTAAAGAATTTGCTATATTTCCCCTATTGGGCCCGCCCCCCAGCCCCCAGGGGTCCACACCCACCATTTATACAAAATTGAGTCCCCTTGGCCCAAGGCTGCTCCAGACTAAATTGGGATAAAATCCTTCAATCCCTACGGTAGAAGAAGGATTTTCAAGGTTTTACCTCTATTTCCCCTATTGGGCCCCGCCCCTCTGCCCCCAGGGGGGCCACACCCACCGTTTAAACAAAATTGAGTCCCCTTGGCCTAAGGATACTCTAGACCAAATTTAGTCAAAATCTACTTGGCCGTTCAGGACGAGTAGCGTTTTAAAGGAAAAGTTGAATGGGAACCTGAGAACATTCGGTAGACTCTATAACAGCTTCGTTATTTGATATGTCGTGATCAGAAACTGACTAACCGTGGATCCGAGACGCGTGAAACTGATAGCGTTTGAAGTGAGTGATCTTGGGGCGTGATCTTGCGACGGAGCACAGGTTCGTTACAAATGTCTGAAATGTTTATGTGTGCTGTGACTCATATCAGGTATCTTCAGTTCAAGTATCATCAATCAGGACCTCCTGATTATTTAGAAGAATGAGTTGTTCAAATTTTTGTTTTTACACATTTGACCCCTGTGACCTTGAAAGTACGTCAATGTCATTTATTTGAGGAAACTGTATAGCACTCTATTCTAGGTACCAACTGGCCCAATATCATGACTATGTCCTTAAGTTCTTAAGACGATGTTCAAAATGTTGTCGGACGACTGATGGACGACGGACAACCCATCATACTATTAGCTCACAAGCACTTCGTGCCATGTGAGCTATAACTTGTGTTGCTTATACCAGTTGTGCTGTGATATTGGCTGTGGTGCGTACCTATAAACAAACTTGTGGTCCTTTAGTTTTGTATCAGGAAAGTGGGTTGTTTGCATCCAGTAGGGTTTGAACCAGACTGTGAGCTTCAGTCTGCCACTATAAAAATTTAACAAAAAGCCAGTAGACATGTATTGTATATACAATTAAGTCTCCCACAAAGTTATGGCAGACAATTGCATGGCTGCATACACGTATAACACTTGTTCTTTATTATTTGCTGTGGTGCTTAGCTTAGAAACAAGCAGCATCGGACTACTGCGTTATATTTTGTGGTGTTATATAAGCATGTCAATATGCAAAAAACTTAATATGTGAAAACATGAAAAGTGTATTAAATCAATTAATCAATGTGTGTCAATTAGTTATTATTCCAACAGACTCTAATCAGGCCATTTCAACTAATTAGCAAAAAATAGAAATAAATATTTTTTTGTCAGTTTTCACAAATTAAGTTGCACTTGTTTGAAAATATGAAAAGTGTATTAAATCCATTAATTACTGTGTGTTAATAACTTATAATTCAAACTACCTTAAAAGTGAACCATTTCCACTAATTAGATCCGCTTATTAGCCAAAAATATAAATAAATATTTTGTCAGTTTTCACAAATTATGTAGATATGATTTGCTCTGTCCTGTGCAACCCACTTTATAAAAAATTGACCAAATAATTTGTGTAAACCGTTTTTTATATTTGAGTAGATCTAATGAGTGGAAATGGTCAACATTTAAGATAGTTTGTAAAGTCAATAATCAACAAAACGATGCAGTTTTGCTAACCATATGATTCAGTGGTACATTAATGATGCCAGACTTGAAGTATACACCACATATATTGCATTATGGGCTTATAAGATGGTCAGCTCAGACACAAATTGTTCTTGGATTAGAAATGTGTGGTTCCTATCGTCGCATATTTAAAACAACAAGCAAAATCGTGGAATTTATATCCCCCGCTTGCAGGACAAATTGTAGGTAAACATTCTCGAGGTTAGGTTTAAACATGTGAGTATCGTGCTGTTGAGACATAATGTATAGCTTAAAACTCGAATAGAAAAAAGCCTTATACAGAAGTTAGACTTTTTATTGAACATGCAGAAACGGCAGAAATGACCCTATCGAACTTGGCCGAGCCCTTAAGGCATTTAACCCTGTTACTAAGTTTAAAGAAAATCGGTTAACATTTGTTGCAGTTATTGCACGGAAACGAAGCGTGACAAACCAACAGACTGACAGACGGACAAACCCAAATTAGTATCCCCCGTTTCGGTGAAAGCGGGGGGAAATAAACATTAGCACTGTAGTGCTATAAATGCGACAAAAATTGGATACAAATAAGAAATAACAAGAATAAACAACATACAGATAGCTACAAAGTTAGTTAAGAAATGACTTGCAAACAGTGGCAACTTAATACGTGTAACAATTAAGGTACAAAAGCAGAGGAGCACATAGGTAATCACAGACAGGTAGCATTTGAAGTTAAATTTATAAACTGGAGGTAAATAATGAATACTAGTATGTTACACTAGTATTACTGACTGAGGGTTAAAGCACTGTGACAGTGTAATATACATACATGCTAATATAGCAAAGTGTGAAATGTGGCAGGATATACACTTAAATAGTACGTGTAATTTAAAATAGGGACAATGATGTCAATTTCAACTAAATATAGTAGATCTAGAAGCATTTAATTAAAATATGCTGTGTGACATTTAAGATTAGGGAGCATATAAAAGTATATAAGACATACATGACATTAAAAAGTTATAACATAGTTGCAGTAATGTCCCTTGTAAACTGTGGTAGGGGTTGTGATTTACAGCTAACGACACCTGGTTCCATATATCACTTGTATACTGTGATAGAAGGCATGGTTCTCAAGTGAAAATACATGTCATCCCTAATGAACATTTGCCCAGTGTAGGAAAGTGTGGTACTAAAGTGAAAACCCCCCACATGAATCCCAATAGTCCCCCTTTTCACCATAGTAGGGGTTGTGGTTCTAACCTGAAAACCCTGTGGTTCCTAAATACAACCCCAGTTTTATG